GTCGTTATTCTTTGCCGAGTGTCAGGGTCTGGCACTCGACAAAGAAGTGGTTTGCCGAGTGCCTACCCGCTGGCACTCGGCAAACCTAGACGGTAGGCGGCGGCCGTTACCTAACGTCGCTTTTTGCCGAGCGCCAGGGTTTGCCGAGTGCCTGACACTCGGCAAAAAGGGCCTTTGCTGAGTGTCTGGCTTTGCCGAGTGTATATCGTTGCCGAGTGCCTGACTTTTAGCTCTTGGCAAAGAAAGTTGCACTCGGCAAATGCCCTTTTTCCCGTAGTGGTAGTTTATCGCAAACAATAGTAATTTAGACTTCATGTAGATGGCACCGCACTACAAGTTTCGGTACTTCATGTGACCCGTTTACCAATTTTGGGATCTAAATACACAATTTTGGAAGTTTGAGACCTAGATGGCACTGCATACAAGTTTAGGCACCGAACCAGATATGTTAGATTCACGTCAGCGTTGAGTTAGCATGCCATGTCAACGTATAGAGTGGGTCGAACCCCGTTTAGACTAGTGTTGGAGCCTGGAAAAAGTTTAGGACCTAAAAATTTTAAAAAGGTGAAAGTTTATGAGTGACCGCCAATATATTTTACTTGGAAAAGAATGTAGGATTTTTTCTGAAACCCCATAATTGGAATTGTACTTCTCCTGTGAACCTTCTGCAAAAGTACTATAAAATTTCTTTAGGTATTTCCCTAAGCAACGATAAACATTTAATCAATTGGATCTCACTCGAAGTCACTTGGCTAAGAGTATGGCTAATAATAAAGCTAACTGCTAGCTACATGTCATTGTCATATAATCTACGGTTTACCTAAAGCCTACTCATGTAATAGTTGGCTATAGATATATATACCCCATCACTGAGTATGGCTAATAATAAAGCTAACTGCTTGCTACATGTCAGTGTCATATTATCTACTGTTTACCAAAAGCCCACTCATATAATAGTTGGTTATAGATATATATACACCCCATCACTAATACCTGGTCCACCTCATGCATCCTGTCACAAAATATATTAGAGTCCGTGAATCAACTATAGCTGTAAGTTTACAACCCGTTTCTTTTTTTCTCTTCCATGTCAACATAAATCTGATACCCGCTTACATTAGTTTATTATACTTGCTCTAATGCTACTAAGTGGGAGCTACGGACGTTTGGATGAGTGCCCATTCCAATGCCCCCAATCAATCTCTTCTCGTCACAAGTCCTGATCAAAGTGCTTGTTTATATAAACTCATCCCAATAAAGTACAAATTGGAGCGAAAAATGAACTGAGCTCTGCCTCAATCTGTTTCGGTACCTATGGAGTAGGAGATTATTTTCTTTTCCAAATAAGATCTAATCTAACCCGAGGTGCAGCACATGATGCCACCACCATGGTAAGCTAAGCTAGCTCACGAAGTTTAGATATGGAGGAGTTACACAGAGACAAATGAGAATGCGGGAAAAAATTACTAGAAAATCATACAAGTGTTGACATGCATTCTTAAAAAAAAAAAGGCATACAAAGTGTAGACATGCAAATCATCAGGAGGTAACAGTCACGGGGACGACACTGATCGCGGATCGGTGCAGTAGTTATATGTACCCGGCCGGCCCCATGTCCGATTCGCCGACCACGCACCATTTCCCGTAATCGCCAAGATGAAGCTGTCTACTATATGAACGAACCATATACTACCGTGAAAAGAAAGAGCCCACTTGCCACGAAGCGACACTGCAAAGGGGGCAGAATGCATCCGGCTCCAGCGATACCAGCGTCGTTACCGTCGACATGCCCATGGGTATCTGCTACTACCGATGGAGAGGCAGGCTGGCTACTGGCTAGCTTCCGCATGCAGCAGCATCTCTGCGCGTGCACGCGTGGCGATCGGCGGATGGCTGGCTTGCCCGTGACTCGGCACGCTTGCGCAAGTGTAAGTGCGACTACCCGCCGGCGTCCTGCGACGCCAACTAGAACTAGCTGCTGGGTCTATATGCCACGCCGTGTTTCGTCTTATATGTTAGGCCATCCATCGTGTCTTGTTGCTGCTTTAACATTTCAGTGCTACGGGTAACAAACTCTGACGGGCTGCACTGCAGGCTGCACGCTTGTGCAGTTGTGATCGTCAGGCTATCCGTCAGCCGCATGCCACGTTGTGTACCCTCTCGTACGTGTTCCTTTCGGGCTGTTGGCTTGAAGTTATCAGCCAGCTTATCAACTAGAATTTATAGTATTTTTCTCTCACAATAAATTATCTTCAGTCGATTTATCAGCCTGCTTTAATACCCGCCGTCCTCCTTGCTGTGCGTCCACACGTCGTCGCAAACAATAAACTTTTCAGATTTCTCAGGTCGTCCGACCGATGAAGTCTCCCTTTGTTCTGTGCACTAACAGTTCGACGATCGAGGCGAGATAGATCCTTACTGTTACGAGTTCAAACCCATGCCAGATTGCCAGCAGACCTTGACCCACAAGATTTTCACATAAGTTCGTGGTGCAAAACTGTAAACACAGATCACGCCAAGAAAGCTGCATGTTTGCTTTGAATAGTCTGCCTTTTGTTACCGGAATACCAGCCGTTTGCAGCATGCAGAATCAAACAAATAGTAGGAAACAGATTGCTCTACAATATTTACGTGCCCAGCTAGTAAAGTTCTCACATGCGTGGCTTTCTTTTTACCCGCCAGCCGAATGCTTCCATTGCAGCCAAATACCCCTGCTGTGTACCCAGCAGCGCATGCGTCGTCATACCGGTGTCTTGTAGCTTGGTTACCACTCAAATTAGTTTGACCACATTTTGACTCAGCTACGGCCTCGTGAGTCGTGACCAGTGGTACCATAGCAGCTCTGAGACTGAAAGCAACAGCAGCTGAAGCCTGCTCACATCCGCCCCCAACATGGCAACATCCTCCATCAAAGGGGGTGTCGAAGAACCATGTAAAAGTTACAGCAAAAATACGTCGCAGATCCAGAGCTTCCAACCATTACTGTCGACGAGATATCACCAGGCTGTGGATGGTACGGCTCTGAATATGAAATCCAGATGCCCGTGCAGCTATATATGGGCATGCAGCCCGAGCCCGTCAGTCTGGTACGGGGCCCGTTTTTTTGGCCTAGCCCAAGCACGGCCCGGCCCGGTGGCCAGCAGGCCCGGGCTAGCACGGCCCGAGGAAGCAGGTTGTGCTTGGGCCTTACCCCAGGCACGTGGGCTGGCACGGCACGGCCCGCAATTTAGGGGAGGCCCGGTGGCAGCCCGATGCCTGACCTGTTAAGAATCCCCACTTCCCAGCCCAAAACTATTCCTAACCATGACTTCCCCAGCCCACCCCCTCCCTCCCCACCGTGCGGCCGTGCCACACTCGCAACGCGCGCCTCGCTCGCCTCCCGTTTCCCTCACCTCCTCCTCATCCTCCCTCGATTCCCCCTCTCTCTCCCGGGCTGAGCATCACGATGGAGGCTCCCCTCCTCCCTCGAGCCTCGTTCTCCCTCAAGCCTTGTCTAGCGCGACGGCAGCGGCTCCCCTCCTACGGTCCTGCCTCGTCGTGGAAGGTGGTGGCGCCCCTCTCGGCTCCACGCCCCCCGCGCGCCCGGCCTCCTCCACGACGACGTTGACCTCCACCTCCTCAACGCTCCATTCCGCCCCCTGCGGCCAGATCTCCGGCAGGTGCGGCATCCTCGAGCTCGCTGTCCGTCGCCGCGGATCTGGCACCGAGCGCCTTGGGGTGAGCTGCGAGCACGCCGGCGGGGCGGCCGCCGTCACCTCCCGCGGTGGCTGCGCCCCCTCCCCACCCCCTCTCTCTCTGCTGGCATTTGGTGGGCCTCGGGCCGGCCTGTCCTGCTAAAAAGGCCGTGCTCATTGGGCCGGCCCGGCACGAAAAGTGGCTCATAGTGCCGTGCCTGGGCCGAAGGCCAAGCCCACATGCCTGAGAAGCACGGCCCACAGCCGTGCCGGCCCAATGGCATCGTGCCGGGCCAGGCCGGGCCGGCCCATTGCCCATCTATACGTGCAGCTCATGCCTCGAGATCACATGAGATGGACGGCGGTGGACTGAACAACACCTTGCCCTTGCAGAGATGCAGGACTGAGCAATCCTTGCCTTGCAGAGATGCAGGATCCAGAGCTTGCGAACCCCTCTGGCATTGCGGGGTCACCATCACAGGCTCAGAATAGTTTCTCCATTTGTTGCCTTTCTTCAAGCATCTTCTCTAACTAAATAAGAAAAGATTTCTTTCAAAAAACTAAATAAGAAAAGATGTTTGTTTGCTTCAATTTTGTTCACTTTGTTCACGTGAAACGGGCACCGATGCCTCTGCATCCTCGATGCCAAGTTTTTTCAGCTGAGCATCCGTAGCCACAGTGCTTGCTTCAAACAAGAGAGAAAGCTGAAGCATCGATTCTTCCCTACACTGCGGGTGCTCTAGCTGCGGGGCTCAAACATCTATTCCGCTGCTCAGCTCTCCATTTTTCTATTTGCTTCTATTGGTCACAAGATCCGTCCGTCCGAACTTGTTAGCTTAAACTTGGTTGATTTCTCTTTCACCGTCTTAGATTGAAGATATGGAGTTAATTTCCATTCATTTTTTGTCCGGGAAGTGCCATGTCAACCATACCTTCCCTGCTGTGCGATACTGAAACACCCAAACTTTGTACTCGGACCTTGTGCCCACTAACTTCGATTGTTCTGTAAAAAAAGTATTGCTACGTTCAAAATGGGATACAGAAAAAAATGCAGAAAGGAACATGTATAGCAAACAAAGTGATGCTATGGTAATAATTGAAGCAAGGCCCCACTGCTCCCTCTCCATACCAGTGTCTCTGCATGGTATGGCACAGGGATATGCATATGCAAGGCATGAGCAGAGTCACAGAGCGGCCACACACAAGCCATTGCACCTGTCTCCAGTTTATATAACCCCTAACACTTGCTTCCTTATGCTGTTTCTCTGAATCCAAATAAAGCACCATCCTCCCATTTTCTATCCATTGCTCATTTGAAGAAGAGGGATGGCTAATGGTTGCCCCACAACTACCACAAGCTCCCTGCTCCTCTTCTTCCTTCTCTCTTGCCTGCTCATCGGCCATGCTCTCTGCAGCCAAGGTCACAATGGCAGAACATCAGGTTCTTCCCCTCACACAAACACCTGAGTTGTTTATTTCCTCTTTCCTTGCATGAGACGAGTCCCTTCTTTCTTTTAGTATTTGCTTTTTGTTCACTTTCACTGCTTATTCGCTCATATGAATCTAATTTGCGGTGAAGGTGCTGATTATGTGGTGCAATATCCCCACCAGGAATTGCCTGCTAAACATATAGTTTTGCAGGAGGCTGTCAAGGTACCTATCTTAGTTAAGTAGCGTTCTTCAGGTTTCTAAGTTTCAAAGGCTTGCAGTACTTTTTTATTCTTTTACACATGAATTATGCAAGGAAAAGTTTGGAAGGAGAAAATGCCAACCACTTGCCTCCAACATTACTCCTGTAGTATTACTAGAAAAAACTTTAGAATAGAAACAAGAAATGAAACTAATGTTTTTTTTAAAAAAAAAGTGGAATAAAACCTTGTACTAGGTTAACACACAAAGTGCTTAATGACCTTAAAGCAAGTATAGTTAGCGTGATATTTTCACATGCCTTGATGTTAGGGTCTAAACAAGGACATACTGTCGAAGTATGCAAGGAGAATGTTGATCGGCTCAATTGCTCCAATATGCACATACAACGAGTGCAGGGGGTGTCGATTCAAGTGTACTGCTGAGCAAGTCCCAGTGGATGCAAATGACCCCATGAACAGTGCTTACCACTACAAGTGTGTTTGCCACAGGTGATCTTCAATGAGTAGGAGGAGCTTCTATGTTATGGTATGTCCTGGAGAATAGTAGTATTTTTTCCCCATTTTTGGCTCTCCCTCTTCTTTTCCTTCTATTCTTTGTTTTCTCTGTTGAAAAGGCTTCTTTTTTTTTTCGTTTCTATTTTACAAGAGGCTAGCTAGTAGAGGACTGGAGTATGGAGGGGCATTTTGTACTTTAAAATGCTTAGTTCAGGTTATGGACTAGTAATTTTGTTAGTAAATGGTTATCAATTTTGACATCTGAAGTAAGTGTGCATAAATAGTATGGTTGACCTATGGCAACGATGCATCATCGAGTCTATGAAGTATGAACAGACCTCAAAATATATCATCTGCTTGAACAGCCTTGGAGATCTAGGCTGCATCTTCTGAGCACCATCAGTTCTTATGGTCAATTGGTCATTCATGTCATTCCTCTTTTCATGGTAAAAAAGTTAACAATCACCTGTACAAATGGGAAGTATGTTAAACTAGACAAGCCCACAGAAGAAAAGGCGACGACAATGAAGCTTATGAAGAGGGAATGCTATTGTGGCATTGTGCAGCCAGCAATTCATCAAACTAGACTTCATTTTAAAGTTTAATTAACTAAGAAGTTGTCAGAGAAAAGTTGTCAGACCGTCACCTGCATCTCTGACTAAAGTGAATATGCATAGTTTCTGTTATGACCGGCCAGGCTCAATAGTGGCTACGGGCCCGGCTCTGTTAAGGGGTAAGAGATCCAATTCATCACTTATTTGATATTTTCTTAGAGATAGATATAGTTTCTTAATTATAGCATCTATATGAAATGATAAATACTTGTAATCTGAAATGATTGGAATTAAGCAGAAGCAACAATTAAGTTGCTGGCTTCCCTTGGGAGCCAGTCGTCCCTGCCCTCTCTCCCTCACGTGAGCTCTAGGGCTGCAGCAGCAGCCGCCGCACTCTCGCCGACGTCGATAGCACAGACCACGTCCTCCCCTCTTCCACACCTATAACCTGCGCAGTAACTCCGGTAGGGCATCAAGCCCTATCAACCTGGTATCAGAGATGTCAGGCCCTATTCCCTCCAACCCTCTGCTGTCGCCGCCGCCGATCACCTCCGCTGCCGCGGTGGTCACCACCTCGCCGCTGCCACCTGCCTCCGCGCTCGCTGCCAAGATGAAGCCTGTGGCATAGATGACGCCGAATCAGGTGGCCGCTGCCATCGGGGAGCTGACTCGCTCGGTGGCTGCCATCCAGTCCTACCTGGCCGGCGCGCCACCACCGCTGTGGCTGCCACCATCGCAACCGGCTGTGACCACCCTGCCAGCGGTGCTGCCGTATGGAATGCCCTACTCCAGCACAACGGGCGTTCCCATCCATCCCCTCCGGATGCCGCCTTCCCCTTCGTCGATTCCATCGTGAGCTTTAGCCTCGACGACCAGCCCAGTGTACACCATGGCGACCTCTCCGACTGCGACATCAGTAGTGCCACCGCCCACTACCGCCGCTGTGGTCTTCCACGGGGGACCCCAGGCCGATGGCTTTTTCTATGGGGGTTCCGACAGCCCCCTCTTCTACGGACCTGGGCACCTAGGTGTGAGTGCCTCCCCGTCCACAGGCAGTGTTCCGGAGCCCTTCGTCCAGAGCACGCATGGGGCCCCATAGGGTGCTCACCCTCCGCGTTTCTACAAGCTCGAGTTTACGACCTACGACGGCTCTGAGGACCCCCTGAATTGGCTCAATCATTGTGAGCAATTTTCCCGAGGGCAGCGTACCCTCGCCTCAGATCGCACCTGGCTCGCGTCCTATCATTTGACTGGTGTGGCACAGACATGGTATTACGCCTTGGAGTAGGATGAGGGCATGCCCACCTGGGACAGTTTCAAGGAGTTGTGCAATCTATAGTTCGGGCCGACGGTTCGTAACACCCGACTGTCCGAACTCGCCCGCCTTCCGTTCACCTCCACGGTGCAGGACTACTCGGCTCGCTTCAACGCCGTGCTCTGCCATGCCCGCAATCTCTCGGCCCCGCAGAAGGTTGATTTGTTTGTGGGCGGCCTCCCAGAGCATATCAAAGTCGACGTGGAGCTTCGGGAGCCCAAGGGCCTTCAGACGGCCATGCATCTGGCTAGGGCGTTCGAGCGCCGGGCTAACGCCACTATATCAGCCACAGGACAGCGTGGTGCCCAGCCACCCCATCAGCCAGGTCTTCTAGTGCCCCCTCGGCCCCTGGCGCCCCCTCCGGTAGCTACCGGCGTGGCTGCTGTTCCAGCAACAGCAGGGTCAGCAGCCCCTGCTCGGCCTTTACGCCGTCTGTCTCTAGCCGAGCAATTGGAGCGTCGCCGCTAGGGTCTCTGCTATAACTGCGACGAGCCGTATGTGCCCGGCCATGTGTGTCCACGACTCTTTTATTTGGAGTCCGTGGATTTTCTCAACGACGAGGTTCCTGCAGAGGTGGCTGCGGTAGCAGCCTTCCAGGAGGATGCCGCACCACAGGAGGTTGTTCCTGCCACCGCCCAGGAGCCCGCAGCCCAGCCCACCATCTCCCTATATGTCATCGCTGGCATTCGGACTGAGAATGCCATGCTCCTCCCGGTCCATGTTCATGGGCATCATCTCGTGGCGCTCCTCGACTCGAGCTCGACGCACAACTTCATCAACGCCGACCTCATGCGCCACCTACGCCTCTCCACCGCGCCCCATCCTTCCATGCGGGTGCTGGTGGCTAACGGGGACTGTGTGCCCTGCGAAGGGGTCGCCCGTGACGTCGCTCTCACCATTGGTGCGGAGGAGTTTACCATCAGCTGCTTCAGCATCAATCTTGGGGGTTCGATCTCATCCTCGGCGTCGAGTACCTCCGCACCTTGGGTCCTATTCTCTGGGACTTCAAGGATCTGTGCATGGCATTCACCCGCGGCGGCCGGCGTATTCTGTGGAAGGGCATTGGCTCTCCCCGCGACGACATTCGGGAGCCAGCCATGAGGGCGGTCATGACTGCCCCATCACATCCCTTGCTGGACCACCTCCTCCACCAGTTCGGGTCGGTCTTTGACGAGCCGCAGGGGCTGCCACCGATGCGGCCATATGATCACCGCATCCACCTGCTTCCAAGCACAGCACCGGTCACGGTTCATCCCTACCGCTACCCCCAGCTACAGAAGGATGAGCTGGAACGACTGTGTGCAGCCATGCACACCCAAGGCATCATCAAACCGAGTACGTCCCCGTTCTCCGTCCCCGTGTTGTTAGTGCGCAAGGCGGATAACTCCTGGTGTTTCTGCATCGACTACTGTGCTCTCAACGCCAAGACATCTAAAGACAAGTTCTCGATCCCGGTGGTTGATGAGCTCCTCGACGAACTGCATGGCGCCAGGTTTTTCACCAAGCTCGACTTGCGCTCGGGCTACCATCAGGTGCGGATGCATCCTGACGACGTTGCCAAAAACAGTGCTCCGCACACACCACGGGCACTTCGAGTTTCTGGTGATGCCATTCGGCCTCTCCAATGCTCCACCAACGTTTCAGGCCCTGATGAACGATGTGCTTCGCCCCTTTCTCCGTAGGTTCGTGCTGGTGTTCTTCGACGACATCCTCATTTTTAGCTCTTCGTGGGCAGAGCACTTGCAGCACATCAGCATCATCCTCGACGCGTTACGGGCGCACAGGCTCCACCTCAAGTGCTCCAAATGCTCATTTTTGGCCTCCTCGGTGGCGTACCTCGGCCATGTGATTTCAGCGGGCGATGTTGCCATGGACGTCGACAAGGTGGCCGCTGTGGCGTCGTGGCCGACCCCACGGTCCGTTTGTGGCCTGCGCGGCTTCCTGGGCCTCGCTGGCTACTATCGGAAGTACATCCACGACTTTGGCGTCATCGCAGCCCCGCTGACTCGCCTCCTGCGCAAGGATGTGTTCGCTTGGTCTGATGAGGCGGACACGGCATTCTAGGCGCTCGAGTGGCCTTTGTCTATAGGCCCCGTACTCCAGATGCCCGACTTCGCAAAGCAGTTCACCGTTGACTGTGATGCGTCCGGCGCTGGGTTTGACGCGGTTCTCCACCAGGACGACGGACCGCTCGCCTTCTTCAGCCGGCCGTTTGCTGCACGTCATCTCAAGCTCATGGCTTATGAACGTGAGCTGATCGGGCTCATCCAGGCCGTCCGCCACTGGCGACCATACCTATGGGGGCATCACTTTTTGGTCCACACAGATCATTACAGCCTAAAGTTCTTGCTGGACCAACGCCTCTCCACCGTGCTGCAGCACCAATGGATTAGTAAGCTGTTTGGGTTCGACTTCACCGTGGAATATCGCCTCGGATGGCTTAACACTGTGGCGGATGCTCTGTCCCGTCGCGACGTCGAGGATGGCGCTGTTTCAGGGGCGGCTGTGCACTTGCTGTCCATGCCGACATTCGCCCTCCTCGACGACATCCGCGCGGCTATAGTAGCAGCCGGGGATGCTCAGCTTTTCCTTCAGCGCCTCTAGGAAGGCGCACAGGCCGCACCCTGGCGCGTCGACGACGGTCTCCTGCTCCACGGTGCTCGCATATTCATGCCATCTTATGATGACATGCGCCATTAGGTGCTCCCCCTGGCTCACTCGTCGGGCCACGAGGGAGTCTAGAAGACGCTCCATCGCCTGCGCTCGGACATCTACATCCCGGGCGACAGCGCTCTTGTCAAAGACTTCGTGCGGGCGTGCACCGTGTGTCAGCAGAACAAGACGGAGTCCCTACAGCCCGCCGAATTATTGTAGCCCCTCGATGTCCTGTCCCAGGTTTGGGCGGACATCTCGATGGATTTTATCGAAGGCCTACCCAAGGTCGGCGGCAAATCCGTCATTCTCACGGTGGTCGACAGATTCTCTAGGTACGTGCACTTCATCGCCCTTGGGCATCCCTACTCCACCGCCTCGGTTGCACGTGCATTCTTCGATGGCATTGTTCGTTTGCATGGGTTCCCTTCTTCCATCGTCAGCGATAGGGACCCAGTTTTCACTGGTCATGTATGG